CTCGTCCAGAGGCATAAGTGGACAATTTTTTGAACAAATTCTGGCTATTACGTTATTGGGCTATGTTGAACGAATTTTTATTCACAAAAATCTAGAAGCAGGATATTGAAAATATGTGGTTTCAAAAAGGCGGCTCTACATGCCACATAGCCGAAGCTACTCTCGGTTTGGAGATAGAAGGCTCAAATTTTGCACAGTTTAACAGTAGGCAGGTTAAGTTCGTAAATGGGGCATGTCGGTCCACGTTTTCGTATAGCTCCCATATAACCGTACCTCCCGATATTCGTTATTTTCATGATTTCAACGACATTATTTACCGGAATTATTTAAAATTTCATATCTGAAGTTCGTAGAGGAAAGCCTATGAAAAAAAAAATTCGTATGCAGGTCCAAGTCTTCGTATATTCCCCATAGAACGGTTTTCATTTAAGTGGTAGTATTCGGATTTTTTTTTTTTTTGAAATTTTTCAATTTCCTCGGAATGGTGAAGGGTATTAAAAGTTTAACCCGGCCGAGCTTAGCTGCTTTTTTACTTGTTTTTTTATTAATCTAATGAGTGTTCACGTTTTCTTATGGGTTCTATATTGGGCCAGTTCCATATTTTACCACATTTTCAATGAAATTGACTACACGAGGAGACGATTAGGATTATTGGGAAATGGCAATTCTGCTGAAAAACAGGACAAAGAACTTAAAATTACTTAAAATCAGGCTATGCCAAACAATGCAGCAATGACACTTTTTGGGAATGGATCCAGTTGAAAACAGTGAAAAATAGAAATCTTGAATTAGGATATACCGAAACATGAAATAGTCTTCAAACCAAATTGATCGATAAAAAAACAAGTATGTGATACCCTACAGCATTACAATATGTTGGATGTTATCTTACATCAAAATCCATTTTGGAATTTTCGCTTTTGAAATTATGCCATTGAGCCATGCCCTTAGCTTTTTGACCGGGGTTATGTGCCCAGTATTTACGCACTCCGTCGTGTTGTCAGGCATTTAAAACAATTTCACACGAAATTTGTGGTCCATTTTGCAATCGAAATAATCCAATGCTCATCCAAAATGCTCGACTTCTTCTCTGTCCTTAACTCTCTTCTCATGCTAAATTCCGAATTGATTGTTTTTCAATTATGAGCGATTGAAAAATTAGGAAATTGTTAATTTTGTTGGTCCATTTGAACCCCTAAATGCACATCACCATAACAAAAGGCGAATTAAAGCCTATTCGACCCTAACCCTACCCCAATGCAAAATTTCTTGAGGATCGGACGATAATTGTGACCTGTATATAATACTCTCAACACATAGTGTTGCGGGGTGCATAAAACCCTTAGAAATGTTCAATTTAAAATCGTATGTCAAATTGAAAAAATCGCATGCGATAAGAAAATGGGACAAAAATAGAAAAGAATTGACAAAAAAATATTCATTTTTTGTTGGTAGGTGTTTACGCGATTTTCTTAGGGTTTTCCCTTTTCTGGCATGAAGCCATAGGTGAAATTTTGTCAAAATCCAATTGTACAGTGGTTCTTGACTTATTAGCGGAATAACTTACATCAACTTCATTAACATATAGATTGTACCTATTTCGTTACATATCCGATAATGATAATGGTCAGAAATGACCTTTTAATGTATTTGTGATTCGCTGTTTAGTGGAATTTCTTTTCTTACATAAAATTTATGGTTTATTTTTTCTGTTTCTGTTTCTGTTTCTGTTTTTATTTTTTCTGTTGCCGAGGCAGGCTTCTGTCCAGCCCCAAACTCTAACTCCATGCAAAATTCAGAGTCGATTGCTCTATAATTGTGGCCTGTAGAGCAACAGAAAAATTAAGATTTTTATATTTTTGGTCCATCTCAACCCCTTAACATTTTACGATCATATTCAAAAACAATAAGGTTCTATTTTGACCCTAACCCCACCTTCATTTTTAATTTCGTAAGGATGCGATCATAATTGCGACCTGTAGCTTAATTACAAATTAACATGGACAGACGGACATACATAGTCTGATCGACTCAGCTCGGCAATATAGGAAGATTCATGTATGATTTCCTATATCGGGTACCAACAATTCGAGATGTTAAATAATTTTTACCCAATCAAACTTATAATACCCCCAACACTCAGTGTTGTAGGGTATAAAATGGCTTTTTGGTTTCTTTTTTCATGTGGCTAAAATTTTGGGCAGGACAGAAGCCTAAGAATTTGGATCGTCATCGATTAATAAAATATATGGAAATGTCCCTTATACCACGAATATTTTAATTCACAATCTCATATATAAAAGAAGGAAATAAGAGGTGGACCGCATATAACTCAAGGACAGTTGCACAGTGTTTGAAAATTCTCAGGAATTCAGTACGGCCTTTCGGCAGAAAAATATGTTTACAAAAATATGAATATTTTTCTGTAATTTTTTTTTTTGTTATAACTTATCCTTACATTTTATCGAATTGGTTGCAATTTGGAACAACCGCTTGAAATGGATAGAAAACCGACCAAAATCTGATACAAATATTATAAAGTACCGGCTTTGGGATATATTGACAACATTCCTCACTTTTTATGATAACCTTTGAATAATGTTAAAATATTCGTGATTGATAAAAAAAATATTTGTATGTGCAAATCTAAATGAAAACGAACATTTATTTCCAATTTTTTGCGGGAAAATTTTTTGTGATAAAAATTTTCAACTTTTGTGAGGTAGCCACCAGAAGCAGATTAACATCAGATCCCAATCTGACAGATATATTTAGATATACCAAGTTTAAAAAGAGTCGCTGACTTGTTTCGCAAGTTATGAGATATATAAATACTGAGAGTTGTGATCTTTTGTGGGGAGATGGTGGTTGGTACCAGAATGATAGGTCCTTTCTATCCGTTCTTGATATCAAATCTTGTGTTGGTAAAAGAATTGAGATTGAGAAAGAACCCTTTGTGGGGAAGGTGGGAAGAAAGAACCTTTTTATACCCTACACCACGAGGGTGTTATGTCTTTGTGCATTTGTTTGTAAAATAGAGAAGGAAGCGAGATAGACTCAAAGTTACTTTATGCATGTCAGTCCATATGTCCATGTATTTTTGTGAACAAAATGCAGGTCGAATTTATTATCCGACTGAGATAAAACTTTCCAAAAATAAGTGTTTAATTTTTTTTAATATCGGCTTTAATTTGGATATAGCTCTCATATATAGCCTCCTTCACATTTGTTGAAAATCGATTCAGAGTTGGATATAGTTCCCAAATTTTGACTACCCTAAACCCGCGATACGCATTCAAATAAAGTTCATAGTTGTTGTGATCTACTTTACATAAATTCCGAATATAACATTTTCTTGTTGCAGGAGCTTTACTAATTCAAAAAAAAGGGCCAGGTCGGTTTTTTGCTTTAGTACCTATATAAGGGTAAATCCCGACTTTCCCAAAAATTTTGGTATTTTGTGTTATCTTTATGTAGAGTGAATTTAATAATGATAAAGAATGGTATAAAAAGTTGAATTTTTATTCAATATAAAAGTATATTTACAACCAAAATATATATGGGTTCAACATAGGTAAAAGTTTACCTTTTAAACATTTTTTAATAGAGCCCTAGATTTTGATGTATGTTCCATATAGTCAATCCGAGTGATTTTCACGGGCTTCACCCACATATAACTGAAATTTTATATTGAGGAATATAAGTCGGAAAAAAACATACTAGGAATTTAGATTCGTATCCTATGAGAGATAGAAATTTTCAATATTGTATTTGATTATTTTGAATTTTAAGCATTTCGACTTTTTGTAACATTTTCCAAACAATTTGTTTTAATTAAGTATTTCTTGTGGATTATATGTTAAAGGATAAGAAAGAACTTGAAGTTTCCATTGCAGTAGCTGTACACACACCTTATAACAAAGTGATTTTAAGGGTTAAATAAAATGCACTTAGTACTTAAATCAGGGCTGCGGAGTCGAACAATTTGCTGGACTCGAAGTCTGAGTCTTAAAAATCATTCTAATTCGGATAAACCAAAATTTTGGTCATTAGTTTCCCATTCAAGTTTTCCGATATTAAGGTCAGTCTACATGTAATTCAGTTTTCTAGTGGCAGAGATTTTAACTTCAAATTTTGACAAATAAATAGATGTCTCCTATTGAAAGGATTTCTCAAAATGTTAAGTTTTCCGAATAAAATTATATAAATTTTTATTTCTTCGCAAATTTTAAAATTGACCTTAAATATGAGATCTTGTGTCTCAGACTCTCCATAAAGAGCATTCTTGATAATCATAAAACTCTTATGTAGTGTAAGTATGATTTGAAATGTCCCGACTCTGCAGCCCTGATTAAAATCAATTTAATCATTTTGCATCGACTTTTAAAATAGTTTACTTAAAACCCCCAGAATTAAGTCAATTTTCTTTAATGGCTTAAATTTGGTTCAAGCTTATTAATCAATTCCATTCGACTCATTTCTGATTCATTATTCCATTTAATAATTAATTTTCTAAATTACTCTTATCATTCATTGGAAATCTATTGAAGAAGTTCTCGGGTAAAACCGCACTTGCCACCATCATTGGTTTCTTGTTAAGTTTCGCAAAACATTGCGGTAGTGTTTGATTGATTATCTTTGGTAAGGAAAGTTTGTGTTTTCACATCTGAACGTATTCCCGCAGAAAGTAAAGGATAATTGCGAAGCCAGGATGTGTGTGTGTGTGAGAGAGAATATTTCTCGTTTCAAATTGCGTGCATTGCATGTTTGTAGAACAACTCAAGTTCATAGATATCTTTGGCGCTTCGAACATCTGTGCACAGCCAAACTTCTTAAACACAAACAAAAAAAAGACAGATAAATAACAACAAAAAAATTCTCATCATGGTCGCTAATGATGAGCTTGTAAACTATTCGTAGGGCAACATTCTGGCAGCATGAACAAAAAACTAAAATTCATTGCTTATTTCTGTTTTTTTTTTTTTTCGTTCTTTACAAACCAATGGAATACTTTGAAGATTTTAATCAAAGTTAGATTGCAAGACACAATTCCGTTTCAAACAAGTATGCCTTCCGGCTAAGGCCTCTTGACAATGGCTGTTAAACGGATGTTTGCCACCAGGCATCAATGTTAGCAGCACCAGCCAGGCACAACTGCAGGAAACTTTTTTACAATAAAAATAACGATGCTGCTCAGAGCAAAGGAAGTGTGTGCCAAGCAACAATTGAATGGCCGAGAACTATTCACTTTTTTCGGCTTATTTTTTTTTTAATTTTTCAATCACAATTTAAAATTCACCTTTTGTGTATTTTTAATGCAGATCTGTAGATTTGTTTTCACTGCCCATTCAAATTGATTTACAGCTTTTTAATTTTAATTTATCAAATATTTTTGAATATTTTTTTTTTTTTTTGGCAAAATCTCCATGAAATATTTTCCCACTGATTTTTTTCTATTTTTTTATTTTTTTCTAAAATCGTATTTATTTATTTATTTGCATATCCAACACGTTCTGCTGCTAATCATTATTTCATCACTCAAAATCGCATGTGCTTCTCAACATGAATCCGGAGTATTTCAGAATCGCACGTCTAAATACGCGTAGTCCATTCGGCACACTGACGATAAACTCTAAATGTTTATCAGAAATAACTGAACTCCTTGCCAGGCATTCTGGCGAACCGACTGACATAGGTCGCGCACAACACAACCAACGACTGTGATTCTTGGCATTCCCTTTTGTTGTTCATGTTCCTTCGATGTATGCTTTGGCATTCGGATTCGTGTTTTTCACGGGACAAAGGCCGTTCGTTGGGTGCACACAGCCGGGTAGGGTGGCCAGGATGCGGGCTTTGCAAGCTGTGTTTTTATCTGAATCCTTCGTTGGGTCGTTTACATTTTCGAAAAACTTGAGTTTCGTATGAGAGCTAAACGAACAGCACAAAATCGTCATAGCCAATGTTGTTAGCGTCATCATTGCCTGGCAGGCTGGCTGCCTGTTTCCTTGCCAGCTTCCTGAAAGGGCGAAAATCTCCCATCATGTACAGCAAGCCATTCGTTGGCTCTCTCACTCTGGGGAATTGAGTGGCTACAGTTCTGTTATTTGTGCTGTGTATTCCCATTTGTTTAACAGTAAACTTTAATAGGCCTTGTAAGCTTTACACAAAAAAGCTTTTTTCGAACATAATCTCTTAACTTAACGAAAATGACATTTCTCTTGTATTCGAAGTAAAGAGAAACGAATTGTACATCTTTAACAAGAAATCTCTACAAACCGGCACACTTGTTGTTGCCCCCAAACGCTTCGTGAAAATTCGTTGGATGTTTTTTAGATACAATTTCGTTATTATTTATCTGTAGAATGGTGTACTTTCGTAATGATTTGAGTATGGTAAAATGTGGTGAAATTTGTTAATGACGGTTTAATTTAAATTATTTATTTTTGAATGATTCAAAGTAAAATTAGATTTTAATTATTTGTTGTAAATAATTGTAATTATAGTTAAAAAAACAGTTCACTTGGATTTGTTTTGGCTCCTTCTAAATACTTCTATCAGGAAAGGATAGTAACAATTTTGGAGTATTTGCTTCATGTCGGATTACCGATAGATAAACACCACTAAAATTTGTGATAAAAAGAAAAAAAAAATAATTAAATAAATAAATGTTGACCGTTTGTCGGAAAGATTCTAGAATGATGGAATCAATAGATTCTTTTATCACAAACAATATAATATGAGTAGAAATAAAATAATGTGGAAAGTTTAGGAGTAATTGTATATTTAGACCCTCAGCCATATGGCTCATCGATTTTAAACCTAGGTCTCTTTTTACTTAATCTGTTTCAAGACAATTGTAGTCGATCTGACGATGTCCGCCCGTCCGTATGTTTGTCTGTCTGTCTGGATGGTGCATAAAAAAACTCTCGAAGGGAGTATCCCATTTGATCCAAACTTAGTACATCGTAATATTATTGTCAAACTTAGATCGAGTTCGGAGATGGGAAATATCGGACCACACCTTCTGGTACATCCCCTGCAAAATGTCAAAATTTTCAAAGAAAATACTTTACTGCACAGAAAAAGAAATCCCAACTTTGAAACTTTCAATATTTTTGCATAAGTTCTAGGTCAGGTGCGAAAATGGAAAATATCGGTCCACTCCTTCTGGTACGTACTCCACAATCAGCCGAATAACCATCCGAAATAATAACCCATAAAGAGTCACAATTGTCAATACTTTTATCAGTCATGACTTGCGAAATAAGACGGCGATTCTTCACAACTTGCTATATGTAAATAGTTTTCTTAAACAGAAATCAGATATTTATATACATATATATTTAGTTCCGCTATATCTGTTACCCAAGACTTTTTCCACATTTCCCAAAAATTTCATATAAATCATATTAAGTATAGGAAATAGTAGTTGATATAGTCCGTCTTATGTCAGATACGAATTGGTCAATATTATCTAACTACTTCGAAACCTCGTCAATAAAGGGTCAACAGTTTGAATAATCATAACTCAAGGCTGGGCGTATACATCTATCGGCACAACCGACTGTTACTATATATTTTACTTGTTTTTAAAATTATTACATATGAGGTTAAGACAATATGTGATACTTAACTTTGTTCTTATAAAGAATATGGTCGTTTTAAAAATTTGGATTTTATGTGGCGGGAGGTACATACTATATAATATCAGTAGAAGTATTAAGAATTTAAATCTTGAAAAGCCTTTTAAGATATGAACAAGTAAAAGAACATTAAGTTCGGCCGGGCCAAACTTTTAATACCCTCCACCTTAGGGTAAAGGAAACATTAGAAGAAATGTGGCAAAAAACCATCAAAATACCGAATATCGGAGGGTACCGTTATATGGAGGCTATACCAAATCATGGACCTATACATGCAAGGTTTCGCCAACGAAGCTAGAACCCATTATGACCTACAAATACCAATTTTCAGACAAATACGTGAAAAAAATGTGGCAAAAATCATCAAATTACCGAATATCGGGAGGTAACGTTATATGGGGGCTATACCAAACCGTGGACCTATAATTACAATGATGAGTATAGCGTAATACCTGCCAGTATTTTTAATGCTATCGAAAAGTCCAAGTACCTTTCGACGGATTTACGCCACGAGCCGAACTCGCCAGCTTTCCCCGAGAATTCTCTTAAGGATCTTACTATGTCGGGTATTTTGTCTAACTCGTCGATTCGAATAGTCCCTATAGGTTGGTCTCCCCCTTCATCTGGAGTATCCTGTCTGAGGAATTCTGTCATTACGGCCCTAATTTCTGAATTGAATTGAATTTTTATTTATTGTATTTTGTTTTAATTTGTTTCTTCAATTTCTTAATGTCGATTTTTTTGAAATTGTAATAATAATTTTTTTTTAATTATTTCCTTTTATTTTTAACAATTTTTTTCACACAACCTACAAGGTTTACACATTCCACATTTTATGAACCGATTTTATGGGGCTATACCAAAACGTGGACCTATACATGCAATGTTTTGCCACACGTACAGGGACCCGTTATGACCTACAAATACCAATTTTCAGACAAATACGTGAAAAAAAATGTGGCAAAAATCATCAAATTACCGAATATCGGGAGGTACCGTTATATGGGGGCTATACCAAACCGTGGACCTATAATTATTCATCATACGAACTGGGACCCATTATGATCTACAACTAGCAAATTTACAGAGAAATTCGTAAAAAAATGTGTCAAAAATCATCAAAATACCGAATATTGGGAGGTACCGTTATATGGGGATTATACCAAAACGTAGACCTATACATACAATGTTTCGCCACACGAACTAGGACCCATTATGACTCACAAATACCAATTTTTAGACAAATCAGTGAAAAAATGTGGCATAAATCATCAAAATACCGAATATCGGGAGGTGCCTTTATATGGGGGCTATACCAAAACGTGGACCTATACATGCAATGTTTTGCCACACGTAGAGGGACCCGTTATGACTCACAAATACCAATTTTTAGACAAATCAGTGAAAAAAATGTGTCATAAATCATCAAAATACCGAATATCGGGAGGTACCTTTATATGGGGGCTATACCAAATCATGGACCCATACATGCAATGTTTCGCCACCGGAGCTGGAAACCATTATGACCAACAAATACCAATTTTTAGACAAATCCGTGAAAAAATGTGGCAAAAATAATTAAAATACCGAATATCGGGAGGTACCTTTATATGGGAGCTACGTCAAATAATGTGGGCTGTATCGTAATTTCAACAGACAGACGGACATCGTTAATTCTACTTAGAATTTTATGCTGATTATGAATATATATACTTTATGGGGTCGATGACGAATATTTAAGGATGTTACAAACGGAATGACAAAGTTAATATACCCTCCTTTCCAAGGTGGAGGGTATAAAAATGTCCATATTCGTACCTGTCTTAAACGCGATTCGAACGCATGAGCTCAAATGTGGACTTGATTTGATTTCTATGTGATTTATTATTCTAAATGAACATAATTTAGTGAGGAGGTGCCAAAGAGGTTGTATAAACTTTCTGGCCCTACCAAACTTATAATACCCCTAACGAATAGTGTTTATTTATACTAAAAATATTAAATCTTTATTCTATTGGCTTTATCATAATCATTTAATTGTGATTTTTATTTCAACGAAACAGTTTTGTTCGTTTGTTTGCATCAGATTTAGATTTCAATTTTTACCGGCGTAGAAAACAAAAGAGTGTGTTGAGAAATTCGAGTTACATATGCCAATGCTATCTAATGCGTTGTACTTGGCAAAACATTAATCTCTTGGATTATTTATTTAATTGCATAAACTAATTAACTTTTGCAGATTTAGCAAAGTGATCTTAGTCACAAATATATGTTTTAAAATCCTCAACTTTTTTAAACTTAATAATCAATATCTAGGGCTCTGAAGCTCAGAGTGCGCAGTAAGTTTCCCAAAAAGAAAGAGACGTATATGTAGTGTAATCTTAATATGCCTAATTTGTTTGGACCATTCTTATTTTCGTCTTACACCAATAAATAATTATATCCAAATTGAATTCGTATTGATTGGCGTTCAACTAATATTATCGTTATATAAACATATGTAATATTAGCAATAATATTAGTAGCAAAAATAAAACACAAGAAATTACAATTACCACAGACATGACTACACAAAAATAACAAGCGGCAGCAGCAGCAGTAACGGACAACGAGGCAGTAGAACCCAAAACTCCCGAAGCTATTAAAATGATTTTATTGCTCAAACATTGTTGGGTAATTTCAATAAATTCCTACACACACGATTATGTGTACTCTGGGTGTAGTAATGTGTAAATATCAATAAAATAAATCATATTTAATAGTTTATCAATTACGAGGGACGTCTAGTCTCGAATGAAAATGAAAATCGAAAAGGGTATTAAGATATTAACATTGAAATCCAATAAATTGTATTCGATACACAGTTCAGATACAATATTCAATAAATTTTGTTGGAAAAAATTATTTATTAAAGAAATTTTGTAAATTACATCTAGGCGCTACTAAGGGCGTAATTGTTTACTAAAGACGTGATTGTTGTCATAAATTAATGTGGGGTGTTTTTTTCAAAGGTTTGGTGATAATTTATGTGAGACACAAGCTTTTTGTTGTATTACAACTCATTATTTAGTATATCTTGTAAATAGGACAAAGAGCAAACAAAAAATGTATGGATGGTCTATAATGGTTATTGGAGAATGGAATGGTGGGATAATATGTAGGATGA